TAAGAGTCTATGTCTAGATTAGAAAATTTTATGCAAAAGGATGTTCAAGGAATGTACTTTGAGTGAGAGACATCACGTCTATGGAGTTGTATTGTAACAATCTCAAATAGAGGACTTTATAATTTCATTGGCAATAGTCATTGTGACTTTTGTGCTATGACTTTACGAAAGTATCATTGCATAAAATGTTAGAATCTAGCATATTCTATAAGTGGCAAGAATTGATATTCTTATACTTATGATAAGGATTGGGAGTGGTGAAATGAGTATGATTGGAAATGTGTTCGTTTGATCTATTACACAAAGTAAGGACCGTAGGTAAACGTTGTGTGCATGCTAAGAGCATGGGACAAGTGTAGTTATAATCCAAGTAAGAAGTTGATTACCCGAAACAACAAATAATGAGTAATCAATATGGTGATTAAATAAAATGTTCTATTTATACCCAGTGTTTGGGGCCATATGGGATTAGTATTATTCTTGTGTTTCACTTTGCATGTTTTAACTTCCTGAATAATTAATTATTTTAATAATCAAATTATTTGAACGGACCACAGTCGTTCATATGTTGGAAGTAGGTATGAATGAAGACTGTCGTGAATTGGTGTGTGGATTGTCTAAAGTGTATTAGACATAAGCAAATGTTTGCTGCAACGTTCATGAATGCTTATGAATATGATTTGAGCATTGGATTAAACCCGCGCTCACTTGGATCACTTCATGAATTTTTATCACGAGTGATTGGTGAGACGATAACATCTTATATTCTTGAAACCAAGATGTGTGAGTTGTATCTTGCGAGTCGGTTGCACATTGATAATATGTAAACGCACCAGTAACTTGGTGTTATAAAACATATTGTTGTGTGTGATTCGGTAAGTGAGTGCAAGCAAGCATTGAATCAAAGTTTATTTGTTCCTTTTATCCAAAGTAGGATAAAAGCGATATCTTTGGGCCCCTCGATGATTTAGTGATGGCACATAAGCGCTTGGCCAAGCCGAAACTAATTTGATGTGATCATTTGTAGTCTGTTATCAGTAGTCATAAATCGGAAGTTGGGAAATAGTATAGAGAGAATGGTTATAATTCATGTCTTATATCTATATGATATCTAGAATGGAGGCATATATGATCCATTATCTAAAGGACACGCGTATCTGATAAGATCAGAGTTGAAAGTGGATTTTGGAAGCTACGATTGCAGATCAGGATCTGAAGTCATACGTAGAATAGTTATTAGACTTATCCAAGTGGGAGACTGTTGAATTAGTGTCTAAGTCCATAACTATTTTGGTATGTACTTGACTTGATGGTGCATGGTCCTTTTGGGTTGCCTTCACCAAAGCAACTTGATAGGATGAATTATGGAGAGAAAGGATTAATTATGATTTATTAATATATTATGAGAATAATATATTAAAGGAGGAATCATATTGTTTAATTAATATTAGTCAAGAATTAATTGATAATTAATTTTGTGGCTAAAAGGGATTAATTAAACTTAAGGGATTAGAACTATAATTATAAGATAATTGCAATTGGGCTATGTATTACTTAATAATATATAAGTTGGACGAATTCTATGGGGAAGCCCATTAGAAATCGTCCAAGGGATATACTAAAGGAATCCATGGGCTGCTTAGGGCTTAAGCAGTCAGATTAGGGTTTCCTAGTTGAAAACCCTAATAGCCTACATGTATATATAGCACCCTTAAGCCCCAAAAATGTGGCTAAGAGTTCCTCTAGGGCTTCTGGATGTTTTGGGCAGCCTCCTCTCTTCTCATTCTTCATCCTCTTGCTCTTGGTGTTTGTGAACCATTAGAGGAGTGACAATTGTGACTCTAAGCTTTCTAAAGTCATTATAAGGAGGAATTGAGATTGTTATTGCTACATAACAATCAAAGGTAATTCTCTAAACCCCAATTTCAGTTTATAATATGTTACATCTAAGATTGTAAGTCTTGGATACATTGCATGTACAATAGAGAAACCTAGATCAAAGCATTAGGGTTTGCATGAGCACATAGGATGTTCTTATGGCTAAAACCCATCATTTCATACTTATACAAACTTTTTCATTAAACATTTACAAGTCTTTTCTTCAAAACTTTACAAATCAATGACACTAAAATAGTTATGAACTCACCAGCTTTATGCTAATCTACGCTTTCAAAATAACTTGTATTCTCAGGTCACCAGTAGACAAGTACGATGACCAAGTTTTGGAGAAGACGGAGCAGTCAAGACTCGTTTTTTATTTTGGTTATTTATCATGGTGTCTTATTCTAGAAAGAACACACATGTATTAAAATTTTACTATTAATGCAATGGATGATGTTGTTGATTGTTTACTACTTTGCACTGTTATGATACTTTACATGATGTCCTCCACCCCAAAACGTTTCCGCCGTTCTTGGTTTTGGGGTGTGACACAGGTTGACCACCATTGGTGTGGTTGACCTCATACACAGGGTGTAATTCGAGTATGCGGGGCATACCCTCGCAAATCCAAAAATTCCATTAAGAGCTTAATGACTTAAGCTCTTACGTCCAAACTTCAGATCCATGGCTAAAATACTCTTAGGAGTCATAAAGTCTCTAACTTTGTGACCTAGCATGTCCAATAAGTGTTTGACACAAGGTCTTATTCCAGTAAGACCTTCTAAATTATGCATGAAGCAAAACTAACCATTTGAAACCCATTTTTATGACTTAAGACCGCTCGTAGGGTTTGAAATGACAACTCAAAGGTATATTGGCTTCCTTCCTTCCTTCTTCTAAGGCACCAAAAACACACTTCAAGATGAGCTTGGCTTCCTTCCTTCCAAGTGTTCCACTCCTTCAAGATCCAAGTGTTCCACTCCTTCAAGATGAGCTTGGCTTCCTTCCTCCCTTCTTCTAAGGCACCAAAAACACACTTCTAAGCTTTAAAAGGCTCATCAAGGTGAAACTAGGGTTGCACAAACATATGAGAGGGATGAAGACAGTTAAAGTGGGTGAAATGAGGCCATAAGAGTGCTTAAATACGAGTCACACCCTAAAAATTAGGGTTTCCTTATATGGTAAGTACACCCTGTGTACACTGATGTACGCCTCGAGTAATATGGCGCGCCCTAGTACGCTCAGCGTACACCACATACGCATGGCGTACTCCTAAGGCCAATATTACAATAATGCCACTAGGGCTCCTTTTGCACACTTTCTTGAACTTAGGGACCAAAATGCAACATAATGAAATTATAGGGTTGAAATTAGAAGTACCTTAACATCGGGATGTTACAAAATATCAATTATTTCAAATTTCTAACATGTTAATGATAACTTGAAGGTAAGATTACATTTTAAGCAAAAATCTTCCACAAAACACTAAATCTAACACTTAATCCTCATAACATTTAAGATTTAAAAGGAATCAAAGCATTAGAAAACTATAATACAAAAGATGGATTGAGGATTGCTACCTTCTTAAGCTTCCATTGATGAATTAAACTCAAACTCTTAAGATATCTTCAAATGATCTTCAGTTTAGCCTTCAACTAAAACCGCCATCAAATGCTTCTCATAAAGCTCTAGATTGTTTGTTATAATCTTTGGCATAACGATGCATTAGCCCCTAAACATCAAGTTTCTCACTTGTCTTCTAAACTTGCTTTTATATAACCAACAAGTTATATTACTTCTACATAAAACCTAAAAACTCAATTTACTATAGTAAGGTAAGGCTAAAATTAAGTTTCTGAGTTTGGAAAAATTGATCCCTCAAACTATAAATTTTCTATTTGACTCAAATTGACTTGGAAATTTTAAATCTATTATTTTTATTTTTATTTCCATTTATTATTATTTTATCTGTTATTATTTATTTATAAAAGTTCTCTTAAGGTTTAAAATACTTCTCCCAAAAATGTGGGTGTTATAAATTAGGACAATACAATAATCATATGATGCACGAATAGAAAAAGAAATATTTGGTTATGGTGGATGAGGGGTAAAGTTGAAAATGGAAACTTCGATGTTACAAAGGATTCAAACAATGAGAAGATTATGCTACAAGATGGTATACATAGGACCAGAATATTTTAGACTTTACGCTTCTAGCTTTCATTATCTTCCATCATTTTGGGTGGAATCAAAATTTAGTAAATTAGTCTGATATAACTTGGCCCACATCTTATTTAATATAATATTCCACCATTTTATTTTGGGTGGAATCAAAATTTAGTACATTAGTTCCATTTAACTTGGTTAACATCTTATTTAATATGATGTTCCACCATTTTGATTCTGATTCCATTCACACCAAATACTTCTTAAAAGATTTGTTATATTCTATCAAACTCCATTTAGTTCAACAATACCAAAGAATACTTAAAAGAATAAACGTGGAGAGAATTTCTAGTCAGATCCACACTACCAAACACTACGTAAATAATAAACTTGAAAAATGTAACTACTATTAGGGGTGTAAACGAATCGATCCGAACCCGAACCTGAGCCTGACCAAGCTCGAGCTCAGCTCGTTTAATTTTGAGGAAGCTTGAGCTCGAGCTCGATTCGAGCCTTAAAATGAAGCTCGAGCTCGGCTCATGAACATTTTAGTGGGCTCGCGAGCCTAATCGAGCCTCTATGTATGTATGTATGTGTGTGTGTGTGTATATATATATATATATATATGTATATATGTATATATATGCTCGTTTAAGCTCGTTTAGGCTCACGAACCCATGAATTGAAGCTCGGCTCGAGCTCGTTTAACAAACGAGCCTCATATTTAGGCTCGAGCTCGACTCAGGCTAGTTTAATTTGATCTCGAGTCGAGCTTTTAACAAGTCGATCCCGAGTAGCTCACGAATAGTTCGGCTCACTTACACCACTAACTACTATAGCATAAACTTGAATTAAAGTCTAGTTGATCAAAATGTAACTTATTGAAAATTAATACCCTAAAATTGAAAATATAAGTGTTATGTGGTAAAGTCGAAAATTTTCATAGTTTGGTGGTTACTTTGTTGATTATTCGATGCTTTACCCTAATGTGCTGCGACCACTACAACAATCTCTTCCGGCTGCATTGCATTACAATACTCCAGTAACGCCGTTCCTCTCATCCTTTTTCTGCTCGCAATCCGAAACCTAAACCCTAATTTGTCGGCGAAATCGTCTCCGCGAACAGTATCTACGATGGGAGATATTTCGACTGGTGTTGGAGACGATCGGAAAGTGACGAAGCTTCCGATTCCGGGCAAAAGAAACATCCTAATTACCAGTGCCCTTCCTTATGTCAACAACGTTCCTCACCTTGGAAACATCATTGGATGTAAGCACGTTTACTTCAATTTGATGTGTAAATGGTTAATTTTGAACTCGAGTTTGTTTTTGCTACATGTAGGTGTGTTGAGTGCTGATGTGTTTGCTCGATATTGTCGATTGAGGGGATACAACGCGATATACATATGTGGAACTGATGAGTATGGTACAGCTACCGAGACAAAGGCTTTGGAAGAAAACTGTACTCCTAAAGAAATCTGCGACAAGTAATTAAGTTTCTACGTTTCTTGCTATTCGATTTTAAGACGAATCCATAAAATAATTATCAAGAGTAATCGATTTGTGACAATTGACTTAGGATTTTGGTGTTTGAGTAACTGTTTTCATTTCTGTCCATTTGGCTATTATTGTAGGTATCATGCAATTCACAGGGACGTGTATAAATGGTTTAATATAAGTTTCGATGAATTTGGAAGAACGTCATCTCCAGAACAGACTGAAGTTTGCCAAGCGATTTTCAAAAAGTTGCTGGAGAATAATTGGCTTTCTGAGAATACAATGCAACAGGTTATATGGAACTTGTTCTAGTCTAAGCTCGTAAATTAATAATGGATTCCTTAGGCTCTGTAGAAGAGACAACCACTAAATCACGAATCTCCTTTTCACATGCAGCTTTACTGTGATACATGCAATAAGTTTTTAGCAGATCGGCTTGTTGAGGGTAACTGTCCAACACCAGGTTGTAATTATGATTCTGCAAGAGGAGATCAATGTGAAAAATGTGGCAAGCTATTAAATCCAACAGAACTCATCAATCCTAGATGCAAGGTAAATTCATCATTCTCTTGTTTTGTCATTATACTTTGTAAAAAGAACATCGTGTCTTTGTAACTTCTCTTTCTTTTCCCAATTCCCATGTATAAATTATAACCCTTTTTTTTCTTCTGCAAATAGGTCTGCAAAACAAGCCCTAGAATTCGTGATACAGATCACTTGTTTCTTGAACTCCCTTTGTTGGAAGAGAAACTACGTGAATACATCAGCACCATGTCAGTGGCTGGTGGTTGGAGTCAGAATGCCATTCATGCAACAAATGCATGGCTTAAAGAAGGATTAAGGCAACGGTGTATTACTCGAGATTTGAAGTGGGGTGTCCCTGTCCCTCTTGAGAAATTCAAAGAGAAGGTAAGAAGTTTCTTGTTTTTCTTCTTTACTCATTTCATATATCTGGTTAATGAGTTCATTCTTAGCTGTTTTAAATGGCAATATCCAACCAATCTTTCATGAGTTTTTTTGTTTTGTTTTGGTTCTTGCTTCTCACACCACATGTTTTCAGGTTTTCTATGTATGGTTTGATGCACCTATTGGATACGTGTCAATTACTAAATGCTACACACCTGAATGGGAGAAGTGGTGGAAAAATCCTGAAAATGTGGAGCTATATCAGTTTATGGGAAAGGATAATGTTCCATTTCACACTGTAAGTGTATTTTTTTAAGGTATAATGTTTTCATTATTATTATTCGTAGCTGTCTCTACAAAACAAGAGTCTTAACTCTTAAGCCCTTAAGCCCTTATAGTCATGTAAGGGAATTTTGATTATTGACCTTTTGTAATGTTTTTCATTTTACGTTCCTTTAAAGAAAAGCTATATAGAAATAGTGTTAACACATAAAACTATACCTTGTGTCAACACATAATATAGAATTTTCATATGAAGATTTCATTCATTCCATTTCATTTGTACTACTATTTCATCTTCCTTCCAATAATGGAGAATCTTCAACCTAGTTATTTCCATGACCCTTTCTTCATATTGTACTTCAAATCTCCCGTGTAAAACATTTTACAATTTCTTCATGAGGATCTTGTTTCATTTTTACTTTTATATTCAACTTTGAAAAATAATATTCATTCCAGGTTATGTTTCCTTCTACACTTATTGGAACTGAAGAGAGCTGGACTATGATGAAAACTATTAGTGTTACAGAGTACTTAAACTATGAAACAGGTTTGCTCTTATTATACTTTTGGCCTTAAATATGTTGCAACTTGCAACAACATATTGTTAATTAACGTTTGAATTCTATATACAGGTAAATTCTCAAAGAGTAAGGGTGTAGGTGTATTTGGAAACGATGCAAAAGATACAAATATTCCTGTAGAAGTATGGAGATACTATCTGTTAACAAATAGACCTGAGGTATGACATTTCATTTATAATGTTCTTGAAAACTATATTTCTTGCATTTAGGAATTGTTCAATCTGTTTGTTGTTTCCTTTTTTCTTTATTTTTATAGGTATCAGACACGTTATTTACATGGGCAGATTTGCAAGCGAAATTAAACAGTGAATTGCTAAATAATTTAGGAAATTTCATAAACAGAGTCTTGAGCTTTATAGCTAAAGAATCAGGTTTAGGATATGGTTCCATTATTCCTGATGCTCCAAATGCAGAATCACATCTTTTAACAAAAACTTTGGGAGATAAAATCGGTGACTATGTTGACCAATATGTAGAGGCCATGGAGAAGGTAACTTAACTGATTACTACTAAAATTTATAATTTTTTATAAAAAAAATTGCGAATTTGTTTTATATTGATTTTTAAAAGTGTTTGTTTAGGTCAAGCTAAAGCAAGGATTGAAACTTGCAATGAGCATTTCTGGTGAGGGGAATGCATATCTACAAGTAAGCAGTCCACATGGAATTGGAATTCTGAAAAAGTCCACATTGAATGACTAAAATGCCCCTTGACCATGCAGGAAAGTCAATTCTGGAAGCTGTACAAGGAAGACCTCCCATCATGTTCAATAGTCATGAGAACTTCAGTTGGCATAGTCTATCTTCTTGCATGCCTTCTAGAACCTTTTATGCCATCCTTTTCCATTGAGGCAAGTAAATGTAAATCTGTTTCCAATGTGTAAAATACCGTTTTTACCCCTTCAAATAATTCTTTCGATTTGTTTTATTGATACACAGGTACTCAAGCAGCTCAATTTGCCCCTTCAACTTTCCCTCTGTGATGATAAGGGAGATATCAAAAAGGCCAAAACCCCTTGGGAGTTCATACCTGTAGGCCACAAAATCGGGACCCCTGTTCCATTATTTAAGGAATTGGTAATTAGCTAATTATCAAATAACAAAAATTCAATATTAAAATATTTCTTTTTAAAATTTTTATTTGACTTTTTTTTTGTGTGTGTGTGCAGAAAGATGAAGAAGTGGAGTTTTTCAGGAATAAATTTGCTGGCAGTCAAGCTGATCGAGCTGACCGGGCTGTTAAGGAAGAAGCCGAAGCAAAAAAAGTTACCGAAAAGTTGAAGAACACCAAAATTTCAGGTCGTTATTTTTTTCCTTGAAACCCCTTAACCCTAAACCCTAAGTTTTTACCCTTGAACCTTGAACCTGAGTTTTTACCCTAAACCCTAAACCCTAAACCATGAGTTTTTACCCTTGAACCCTGAGTTTTTACCTTGAACCTTGAACTTTGAGTTTTTACCCTAAATCTTTAACCTTGTGTTTTTACCCTTTGAATCCTGAGTTTTTACCCTAAACCATAAACCCTAAACCCTAAACCCTAAACCTTGAACCCTGAGTTTGAACCCCGAACCTTGAGTTTTTACCCTGAACCTTGAACCCTGAGTTTTTACCATGAACCTTGAATTTTTACCCTGAACTTTGAACCCTGAGTTTTTACCATGAACCTTGAGTTTTTATCCTGAACTTGAACCATTAGTTTTTACCTTAAACCCTGAAGCTTGAGTTTTTACCCTTGAACCCTGAAGCTTGAGTTTTTACCTTGAACCCTAAACCCTAAACCCTGAACCCTGAATTTTTGGTGATAAAAGCAAAAGAGTTGGTTAAAATTTTTATATTTAAAAAAAAATGAATTATGTTTGCAGATAAAAGTGGAAAGAAAGAAAAGGGGGAGAAGTCTGGTGTTGGTGAAAAAGCAAAAACAAAGGGAGCTCCTGCTGTGGAAAAGGAAGTAACAATCAGTAGGCTTGACATCCGTGTTGGAGTTATCACACAAGTCCAGAAGCATCCGGATGCTGATTCTTTATATGTTGAACAAATCGATGTTGGTGAAGAACAACCTAGGACTGTTGTCAGTGGACTTGTCAAATTTATACCTATCGAACAGATGAAGGTTTGGTTCTTTTTGTTTTTTTTTTCTACCACTTAAAATGTCTAAGTTTTAATATCTATATTTTTTTATACAGAATCGGAAGGTTTGCGTTTTGTGTAACCTAAAGGCAGCAACCATGAGGGGGATTAAGTCACACGCGATGGTTCTTTGTGCTTCCACTAGTGATAAGGTAACATATGTTTTTTTTTTTTTTTTTTTTTTTTTTTTTTGAAGATGTTTGATTTGATATTATTATTATGAAAACTTAAAAATGTTTTATGAGTTTTTAGGTTGAATTGGTTGAGCCACCTGAGGGTGCTGTTGTTGGAGAGAGGGTTAAGTTTTCAGGGTTTGATGGGGAGCCTGATGATGTGTTGAACCCTAAGAAGAAGATTTGGGAGACACTACAAGTGGATTTGCATACAGATAAGGATCTTATAGCTTGCTTTAAAGATCTTCCATTTACAACTTCTGCTGGTGTTTGCAAGGTTTCATCCATATCCAATGGAACAATTCGATGAATATGTTATTTTCACTTCAAACCATGTTTGTTACTCTTTATTTTATTTACCTTTTTTTTTTTTTTTGACATTTTTACATGAATGTGGTGTATTAGATGATTGATGCATGACGATTTTGCTTATATAAATTTGACATACTTCAAACTATATTAGCAAGGTTAGTCCATTGAAATGTTTATCCTTTTGCCCATATTTCTTGAGACTACTTAAACGAAGAAAATGGCTAATGCAACTAGATTAGTGTCATTGAGTTAGTTGAAATAGAATCCAAATGCTAAACTAAATGTTATCAGTTCGCTCACATTCAGATTTAGTGAAAACAATTTCTTCAGCTTTAGTGAAAACTATCGATTGGAAGTTTGAATGATGATATCCAAATGTGAAGGATAATGTAATACAAAGCAAATAAAAGAGAAGCATAATCCAAAACAAATAAAAGAGAATCGAAATGTTTCTGAACATTTTAACATTTGAGTGAAAATGACCTAATCCAAAACAAAATAAGAGAAACTGTATGTATATATATACCCTCCATAAGAAATTTAAAATTGATCAACTTCAAACAAATGACAATTAGAAACTTCAAAGTTGATTACCATTAATCATGATCCATTCATTTCCACAAGTGGACAACCATCCATAACTTACATTAGTGTGATCCAAACCATCATGTCTCCTTACCAATATACATTTGCCAAAAACGTAAAACCATCTACAACTATCCTACCTAACCTATATCACCTTCACAAACAACTTCCATCATAGACCACTACACATCCTCACCACCACCTTTACTATCCCCAACAGACTGCTCTACACTTCCTTGTTCCTACCTACCATTCTCCACAACGCCCTTTTCCATCACACTAGGAATTGTTAAAGTCTAGATGAAACAGTCCATATAAAACAATGGCTTATGATTTTTTCGGCCTCTTCATCAACCTTTCCTCCATACACCACAATGTATAGGGAATTGCCAACCTCAACATCAAAATGAATTACTAGCCTCAGTATCATAATGAACTCCATCTTCATCAAGTAGGCCATTATTGAGGTTGTCTTCATCGTCTAGTACTAGGAAGCATGAACATCTCATTGATTTTGAAGGCTTTGTACGAATATCTGATTTCGTGTGTATGTATGCGTGTGAGTTTAGGGTTCATGAATGTGTGTATGTGTTCTTCAATTTTTGATTTCGACTTTAGATCAAGAAACCCTTCATCAGATTTGATTTCGACTTTAAAACAAGAAACTCCAAAAAGATTGATAGCAAACCCATTGCCAACAAAAAGGTTAAAGCATTTTCATAGCATTATGTCATGGTAACAATCTAAAGCAACCATTAGAGCTCCGATTGAAGCTAGAAAGAGAGCATCAATTTTTCATATATATAGATTTTTCACATACCACTAAAGCTATCATAAAAAAGGAAAATGCCAAGGGCAAATATATCTTTATAAAAAGTTTTGAAAATTTTGGAGCACGCTTGCAATAAAATCAAACTTTTAGACCATTGGCAGAAGTCCAAACCATATTAACAAGTTGTGACATAACACAAAGATCATTCTTGCAATTTTGTCCATTTAGTAACATTTCATTTTGCCTTATGATTATATTTGTTTAATTAATTAATCTATTGAAACATATAAAATAAAAATAAAAATATTTTTATAGAAGCTTTTATCAATAAATAATAATTTTAAAAACAGGACTAAAAAAAGTGTCAAGTCAACATTTTATTTATATCTTTTTAGTTATTTAAATATAATGTTATTTTTGAAAAACAAATTTATGCTTAAACATTAACAACTTATGACGGGTATTTATATAAAATGAGAAAAATAGGTTGTCCACTGCCCCGTTGGCTCTCCTCTATTGTAACGTTTGGGGGATAAGGCTCATCTTTGGCGATGATACTAAACAGCCTCTTTCTGAAACTGCATCACACATCCCTCTTCTCATCAACTCTTGATTGAAACCCTAAGATTTGTACTTGTGATCTCCCGGAGGGTGTCCAAATGTTACTAGGTGAGCCTTCACCAAGGTGTAGGTTTATATAACATATGAGAGAAAGATAATGATAAATAATTAATTTTAAAAAAAATCAAAAAATTAACCATTGAAGTAAGTTTATGCAACATATTTTTATGAAATAAAGCTAAATGGAAACTCACATGAACAAATTTTGTTCCATTGACACCCATTATTGTGAATCAGTATGAAATTAGAACCTACTTCATAATTCCAAGGCACAATGTGAAAACCATACCAACTCTGTTTCATTTTAAACGAATTTAATTGATCAACAATAAACCCTAATGAGCTCAACAGAACTTTTCATATGTGAATCAATACGACTGAAAGACCTTCAATAAACTAAAACGCAATTCTAGTCTTATTCCAGGGTCCAAATGCCATCTTCAAGTCTACATCGCAGGTTTTAACAAGAGGCAAAAAAACAGAGAGATTCAATCTACCAAAAGAATTGGAGTTTGTAAGCACGATTCATAGGGGAGTACTATCTAAAATTGCATTTGATATCTTTTTCTCGAGTTCAACTTCATCAATCCATATGGAACTTTGACGACGCAGTAACTCATTCTTCTCTTTCTTCTTCTCCATGATTTTCTTCTCTCTCATCTTGTGGTATTCAAGCTTCTCGGCTCTTTCTTTCAGCTGCACCCACAAATTTCAATATAAGGAACATATACTACAGGGCCTTAAGCATTCAAACAAGGGTTAAATCAAATGGAGTAACAACCTATATGTCATGGATGATATAAACTATGCTACCAATGGAACCCTAAATCGTAATTGTATGAGTAGGATAAGAGTACCAATTCCTGATTAGTAACAACAATTTGTGTTCATTTAATTTACCAAATCCAACTTTAACTTTGTGGTGAACCCTAGGTGATACTTGATGCGAGGATGGATAACTGGGTGAACGATGGTAATCCACAGAATGAAAAGGAGAAAACTGGTGAAATTGAAATGTTCTACCATTAATGGAAGGAAATTCGACGTACCAGAGTTTGCCGGAACTCCTCCTCAGCAACCTGACGTTCGGCGGCTTTAGCCTTTTTCTCGGCGGTTTTAGCGGCTCTACGCTCTTCACTTTCAATCCTCAGAGCTTCCTTCTTGATCTCATCTTTCCTCTGTTTCTCAAGCCTCTGAAGCTCCATTTCATGGATGTACTCCTTGCGAACGGCTTTAACCTTTTTCGCATAGTCACGACGGAGCTGATCGAGCTTCGCTTGAGCCTCCTTTGGATCCTTCGGTGGTTTCCAGCTGTTGAGATAATGATTGGGGGAAAGATATTCTTGGTTGCGTTGGTGGTCATTGTGATGAGAAGGCGCAGTGGTGGAGGAGACAGATCGGCGGTGGACAGTAAATATGGTCCTCAGTGTCGGAGAACGGAGGAGCAACCGTGGGCTCGCCATTGACGTCGGCTATGGTGAGGGTTTTGGAGATCTTCGTATGTAAAGTTCTTCTAGCAATTTTACTTTCTAATACATAACTTTCATATATTCCATTTTGGCCCCATAAGTTTCTAACCTTTTACTTTCGACACGAATTTCACACTCCCTATTTCTCCAACCTCCGCCACTGCAATTCATTTGATGATTCCCTCCCAGTTCTTCTAAATTCTTCACTCAAAAATCTCATCATCATCATCCATAACAAGATCCACCTTCCACCATCAAATCTCTCTGTTTCTTAACTGAAACCAAAGTTCGATCTCGGTATTCCACTGGTCTCTGTAAATGAGGAGGTATATCAATCACAAAACACACATTGATCTGTTCGTCTGTGCGTCTGATTTCTCGTATCTGATATTACCGGATTTGGATCTTACCGGTGTATTTACAGGCCCGGAGAAGGAACGACGCTCAAAAGATTGCATCATAACCGACACCAGCTGAAGCAAGTTAAAGGACTGTTCGGAAAACTCGTAGTTGCAGCTATCTTACTCATTGCTCCGACTCTCTACTTCGTATACTTCTTCAACACTAGTTCATCATCATCATCGGACTTTCCATCTGAGGTCACTTCTTAACAATTCCTTTTCGCTCAGTACTTACTTTTGCGTTAAATTCTTCGTTTGCTTAATTATACTTGGTTACGAATCTGTGCTCCTGCACGAATCGTTATGCAAATCGAGATGTCATAACCTGTTTGCAAGAAGATGATTAGTTTTTTCAACAAGCATTTCTATAGCTTATGAACTTTTAACTCCATTTTTACGCAGATTGATGTTCAAAAACTCTGGGATACTGCTGATTCTGGTGGTTGGATACCATCATCTGCTCCAAGATCTGACTGGCCTCGTATGTACTTTTGGTGTTCTTGATCTGTTTCCATCTTACCCTACTGTTCTTGAATCTTGATAGTCTGTATTGATCTTTGATTCTTATTTTCAAACATTCATAGCTCCTCCAAATGAGAGTAATGGGTATCTGCGTGTCCGTTGTAATGGGGGTCTGAATCAGCAGAGAACAGCTGTATGTTTCTTATAATTTTGACCATTTATATTCCTCTTTTTGCACATTTTTAGTGTTCTTTTGAGGTGACAATTAAACTAGTTGTTGATACATTGATATTCTATATTTACTATGACATTGTAATTGAGGATGCAACTTTGTGTAGATCTGTAATGCAGTTCTTGCTGCCCGAATTATGAATGCTACCCTTGTGCTGCCCGAGTTGGATGCAAATTCCTATTGGCATGATGACAGGTATCTTAAATAATGTCTTTGTTGCATTTAATCCTTAGAACATTGTGTCAATGTAACATTCACATAAACATTTGAATTACTCTTTCAGTGGTTTCCAGGGTATCTATGATGTTGATCATTTCATCAAGTCATTACAACACGATATACAAATTGTAAAAAGCATTCCAGAAATCAAGAAGAATGGAAAGACAAAGAAGATAAAAGCTTTTCAGGCATGTTTTTCAAACTACTTAAACTTCCATGATATTCATGATACTAATAAACATGGTTAAATGTTGTAATATGAAGAAATAAAAGTGCATTGCTATTTCTTTCCTTACTGTAGCTTCGGCCACCAAGAGATGCTCCTATACATTGGTATACAACAGTTGCTTTGGAGAAAATGAAGGAGCATGGTGCAATTTATCTCACTCCTTTCTCCCATAGATTAGCAGAAGAGATTGATAACCCTGAATATCAACGGTTAAGATGTAGGGTCAATTATCATGCCCTAATTTTTAAGCCACATATCATGGAATTAAGTCACAAAATAGTTGATAAACTTCGGTCACAAGGTCATTTCATGTCAATCCATCTTCGATTTGAAATGGATATGCTCTCGTTTGCAGGGTAAGTTTAAGTTACCATTACTTTTCTTGTAATTAATTTATGGGAATATGTTTATAGGAAATCTCCAATAAAGTCTCAATATTTTGAGACAATTTACAGTTTAATTGGTTAAAACATTGAGACTTTTCTAAAGATTACGTTATTTTTTAACAATAACCAAAATATTGAGACTTTTTTTAAGATTACCCTTGAACTAATTTTGTTTATTGGTAAAAAATAACGTAATCTTCAGAAAAGTCTCAATATTTTGACAAATTAATGAAAAAAGACAGGATACTTGTTAAATTTACGAAACCGGCCAAAAAGGGTTATTCCGTAATTTTAGCTGGTAATCTGTCTTTTTTTTGTAAACAAAAATTAATTTGGGATTAAAGTGTAAACTGACCCAAAATATTGAGACTTTATTGGAGATTTCCCTATGTTTATTATTCGTGTTTGTGATTATTTATTTATTTATGTGGCAGGTGTTTTGATATATTTTCCCCCGAAGAGCAAAAGATATTGAAAAAATATCGTGGTGAAAATTTTGCTGAAAAGAAACTAATTTATAGTGAAAGGAGGGCTATTGGAAAATGTCCATTAACTCCAGAAGAGGTACCTTTAATATAATCAGCTACTTTTTACCAAACGCCGTTACTTTATCAACCAACTAACTTTTCACTTTTCAGCCAGTCTGCCAAACACACAGTGTTTTAACTTTTATATAATTCACAGGTGGGCTTGATATTACGTGCAATGGGGTTCAACTCCTCGACCCGAATATACCTAGCCGCCGGTGAACTATTCGGCGGTGAGCGGTTCATGAACCCGTTTCGGTCCATATTCCCTCTCCTCGAAAACCACACCAGTGTGGACCCCACCACCGACCTTAAATCCAATGCTCAGGGCTTAATCGGTTCAGCTGTCGATTACATGGTTTGTCTGTTATCAGACATTTTCATGCCAACATATGATGGCCCAAGCAACTTTGCCAATAACCTTTTGGGCCATCGCCTCTACTTGGGCTTCCGGACCGCGATTAGGCCCGATAGAAAAGGCCTTGCTCCGGTTTTTATCGATCGGGAAAAGGGTCGGGTTGATGGGTTTGAAGAAGCGGTTAGACTGGTTATGATGAGGACTAGTTTTGGTGGGCCCCATAAGCGCGTGTCACCCGAATCTTTTTATACGAATTCTTGGCCCGAGTGTTTTTGTCAAAAGTTGGGTGTAAATCCGGCTCATAGATGTCGGAATGATATGATGTAGGTAGGGTTTTGAGAAATGAGAGTTATTAGTATTTTAGGTTTGATTCTTTCTTGATGTGGTTACATTTGTATTCAAGTCTATAAATATACTTTGATTTTGGAGTCTTGTAAAAGCAATGTTGTTTGTGTAATAACTACTGACCCGACCCGACCCGATTAAGACGAATAGAGTCGGGTCTAAAATTGGAATCGGGTTTATAGGCCGATCCGAATAACATGTAACATATATAGGGTTGGGTTCAGGTATATATCATTGCATTTTTATCATAAAAGTACGCTATGGGACTACCCAAAAGACTTGAAAAAACACAGCTGTTAGAAGCAAACATATTTGGTTCTTTGGGGCAGGGGTAAAAATGGAAAACAGAAACAAAGAGGAAAAATTATTTGGGGCAGGGCTGTCAAAAATGCATAGTCATTTTACCATCCTTTTCGGCTGTCACAGATTATTCCTATAATGCCCCTGATCTAGAAATGATTATAGTTATGGTAGATTACACCCTTTTCTAAACATGTTAAAATGAAACAAAAGAAATTATCTCACAGGAAAGGAAAACAGAAATCGGAGATGACCATTTTGCCCTTGGTTTGGGTCTTTAACATACTAGACTTGAAATATGACTTAAAACATGTTAAAAATGGAACAAAATGCAAAACAGATAATATAACTTGTTAAAGTGACATAATGTCATTACATTTCAATAACAAAATAATAGGAATACTAGATTCCAAATATCAAAAATCATCACAAAAAACTAGAGTTTTGTCCGATTTCGGCTACTAAATCTGGTATTCAAAATTAATAGGGTTGTCCTACTTAGATCCACCTCCATTCTTATTTAGATGCCTTTTCTTGGTTTGAGCTTTGCATGATACATCAATTTCTATCCTATCAACCATATGAGATTGATGTTCCAAATTAGATACAAAAGTTATGAAAGAATTAAATTTAATATACACATAGAATACATATAGATAAAATCATTTCTTACCATTTTCAATATCAAATTGAGTTTCATGCACTCCATCATCTTATTCCAAGGTATCAAATTATTTCTTACCATTTTCAATATCAAATTGAGTTTTTGGGCTTTTGTAAGTGTGGTTCCATTTTATTCCAAGGTATCCTAGGATTGCGTACAAGAAATTGGTCCCCATTTTTCTTATCTTTGTCCTCTCCATTGTCAAATTCTTCATCTGAAGGGATCCATTTAGCATCATCAGATAAAATAGAGGCAATTTCACCAAGTCATTCAAAAAAAGGATCACATATTATCTTGTCCATTGAAGAAGCAACATATTCTTCATCGGATCCATTCAAACCCTCCATATAAACTTCAACTTCACGATTTGAAGTTGAAGTCATAGTTGTTGGTTAAAGGTTCCTTAAACAATCGATGCAAACAACAAAATAAAAAAATAAGACATGGTAACTGTATTATAGAAGACAAGTTGAGAATTAGGTTTTGGCAGGTTCAGTCCATGGGGTTCAACATGCTGACACAATAAACCCCAGCCTAATTTGTCTCACAAATTTGATTTATGAAAATTACCATTTAGACCTTGGACTTATTATTATTATTATTATTATTATTATTATTATTATTATTATTATTATTAGACAAAATTACAAAAATGGTCCCTATGGTTCGCCAAAAATCACAAAGTCAGTCCCTATTAATTTTTTTTGACGAACATGGTCCCTGTGGTTTCCAAAACTTGCATCAATGGATCTTTTTGCTGACGTCGTTACTGTTCATCCGTTAGTGTAAGGGTATTTTGGTCTTTTCAAGTAGCAGGGACTGGATTTGTGATTATGGGTAAACCATAGGGACCATTTATGTATTTTTTTCTATATTTTATGTTTATGAGTTTGTGACTTTTCTACCCATTTACTTTTTAAAATATCATTTTGAACCCTTCACTTTGAACTTTGAAAAATGTTACTTTCACCCCTCTATTTTCTAAATTTTTGTGTTTAACCCCGTATTATATATAATTTGTTTTTTATTAATAACTTTTGTTCACTAACCTAAAAAAACTATTTTTACGTGTTTATTTTAATATATTTGTCGGTATAATTCAAGGTGATCAACGTTTCGACTATAATTTAGAACTTTCTTTCGTTATTTTTTTTTTAAAGTTACATGGTTTTTTTTTTATAAAATTGTCGGTTTAAATTCGAGCTTATTTTTCGACGTAGTTTATTTTTTTATTTTTTATTTTTTTATTTACGTTTCCTACGTATGAGACGGGTCATATATAATAACTTTCGTTTGTTAATTTTAAAAAATATATTATATTCGAGATTGTCTATGTTTTGATGTATTTTGTATACATTTTGTGCTTAATTTTATATACATTCCTACGTATCATTCGGGTCATATATAATAACTTTCGTTTGTTAGCTTAAAAAAATGTAGTATATTCGAGTTTATCTATGTTTCGACCTAACTTTTATTTCATGTTTTTTACGTATCAATATAGATTCGAGTTCGTCTATATTTCGACGTAATTATTTTTATGTTTCGTGCTTATTTTTATGTACGTGTTTTTTTCATTCATGTTTTTTTACGTCGAAATGCAACTTTTATTACTATAATCACCAAAATTCAACGTACAAAATTCAAGCTTATAATTACGCTTTTATCTATTATATGTGAACAACCTTATACGTAGAAACATACATAAAATAAGTACCAAAACATTTTGCGAAACATATTTTTTTTAAGTTTTCGTGCTTTATTTTTTGTACGTTTCCTACTTATGATTAGGGTCACATATTATATATTTTTTATTATTTAAACGTTCGTTCGTTAACTTAAAAAAATCTTACTTATTTTTATGCACGTGCTGATATAAATTTGAGTTTTTCTTTTTCTTTATTTTTTATGTTTTGAAAATTACCATTTAGATAATATTATTATTCTTTTTAATCATTTTAAAGAGAATTACATACCAAGAATGTTATAACACCATATGTACACATTGATTGTTCTAAGCAAGGTTTTATTTTTGGTATATTTTTTTTCTAGTTTTGGTACGTACACTTTGAATTTCTAAGCAACAATCTATTATTGGTATATTTTGTTCTAGTTTTGGGGTGTAATCATTTTTTGAAAAAGAAAAAAAAAACATTTTTGATTTAAATCAGACTAAATGATTTTTAAAAATTAAAAACATATTTGAAATCTAATCAACAAGTTGGAATTTTTAAGAAAATATTTTGTTTTTTACTAAAATATAACAAAAATTAAAGAAACACACTAAATGAAAAAGAGATACAGCCATACAAAAGCATAAAAATTGACTTGATTGAAAAATGGTTGGTATTAAATATTTCAAAATATCACTATTGATTATTTCAAATATGAGAAATTAAATATTTTCTTATTTTTTGTTCTTATAAATTTTCGTACCAATTAAATAATGACATACATAACATTTAATGCTTATTTAATGATATTTTAATATACTAATATGATACATGTAATCATTTAATTGGATATGAGGATTTATAAAAACAAAAATAGAAGGACATTTAATTTCTCTTCAAAAAATATATAAAAAGTTTTCCAGATACAGAAAAAAAAAATATTATATATCATCGAAATCTAAAATGAACATTTAATAAATAAAAATAGGGATAATGACTTAGGAGGGTAATAAGGTTTTCAACTTGTCCGTATTAGGTCACTAAGGTTTTTTTTGTGCATATTAGACCAATATGGTTGTTATTACTGTTTAGAAATAGTCCTTTTACCGGTTTTAACAGGTAAAAATGACTATTTCTAAACGGTTATAACAACCATATTGGTCTAATACGCACAAAAAACCTTAGTGACCTAATATGGACAAACTGGAAACCTTATTACCCTCCTAAGTCATTAACCCTAATTATTTAGAAAACATGCTTACTAATCAATGTGGCTGATTTGTTTGACTGAAAATAGTTGCTTCCATTTAAACTTATCTCACAACCCTTCTAGAACTTTTAAATCCAGAAACTCATATGATTGATGATCTTCATTACATAAATATGCAACATTTTATCAATAACTTCTTTTTTGTCATTTAAATGTTTACATGAATACATCCATATGTACAAAAACAAAATCTCACTTTGATACCTCCCATCAATGTCTATATTTGATAACGAATGGAAATGTAAAACCAATAGGGACTTGTATAGGATGCCTATTATCAATTATTTTATAAAAAGCAAAACCACAACATGAACTAAGAAACTGAAGTTACAAAATGAATAAAAAAATCAGCACATAAACAAATACATACATACTATATACAACACATAAACGAAAGTTTATAAAGCATGAAACTTAATGACAGGAAAAGTAAAAAACTTAAAGGAGACTTTATAGAAAGAAAGATCACCCTTACTTGCCACAAATGGTTGAAGACATCAACAAGAAGATCAATCTGACCATAGAATCCACATGTTATCTGATCATGACTTCAGTAGATGAAGTACTGAAACGTAAGAATTGCAATTGAACTCTATTAGCATTTGAAAAGGGAATTAGGGTTCCAGAGAAGATGACGAAGGGTTAAATTTTTTTTTTTTGGACCATTTCTCGATTTGTGTGTGTCATCCTTGCGCAGGGGCCATGCTAATCTTCTCTGTATTGTTCCAATTTTATCGGATGTCCCCAAAGGGATGACTATAGATGAAGAGCTTCGCCATATAGAGGAGTAGCAGATTATATGGGACGACGCTAGTTCTAAACGAAGTAGTTTACTGTTGATGGTCATATATTCTCAATGTCTTTAAAATTATGGTTAATGACTTAGGAGGGTAATAAGGTTTCCAGTTTGTCCGTATTAGGTCACTAAGGTTTTTTTGTGCGTATTAGACCAATATGGTTGTCATTACCGTTTAGAAATAGTCATTTTTACCCGTTAAAACCGGTAAAATGACTATTTTTAAACGGTAATGACAACCATATTGGTCTAATACGCACAAAAAAAACCTTAGTGACCTAATACGGATAAACTGAAAACCTTATTACCCTCCGAAGTCATTATCCCATAAAAATATTATATATCATTGAAATAAAAAATGGACATTTAATAAACGTTGGTAATTTGTATCGAAATAAACGATAGTAATTTGTGTACCAAATGTTTGAAAAATGTGACATGGGCTATTTATTCAAATATATTGTGAAAGGGAGAAAAATGTAAAATAAAGAATAGCCAAGGGATGATTCTTGTATAAGTAAAACCCAAGAAAACATCTGTCTGATATAGAAACCCT